TAGTGAGAATGTGGGGAATAAAGATAGCATTCAAAGGAACTCTCACGTATTCTATGGTAATGTCATCTTGCAGAGAAAAATATGATCAATGATCTAGATACATCTGCTACATGATTATGTGATTCTGTGTTCGAACTTATGTTCGAACATCCTACAAAGTTTAGGGAAGCAGGAAAATGATTGTAAATCCCTGGGCCCAACAGTTAAAAGTGGCCGAACACACACGCCAGAGACTGAACATGAGAAAGAATGGTTTCAAACCGTACGTGTGCGGTTAAAAGGAGAATGAAGATATTGAAATAGCTAGATTAATGAATATGTTGAAGGTGAGGAACGGTTGCAGAAAGTTGAAAGAGAACTACTTATGCTTGAGTGAAGAATGAGGAAGAGAGATGATGTTGATCCGCCATCCAAAAGAAGGCGACTCAATTGATCTGCTCAGTGATGGTTCCAACTTCACTCACACTCGTCCAACATGTTAGATTAAGCTCATCAACCAAACCAGACGTACGAGATTATGCAGTCATTAAGTTTTGATGACCAGAGCCTGACATTAATCTTTTGATCACTGATTTAGGACCGGTATTGCGTAGTGACGTCAACACACACACGCACACACTCGTGCAAAAGTAGTTTGACCAACATGAAAAATAATTATCCAAACTGTCCTATATCCATAGATGCCTATGTATCTTCGCTTTATAGTCATTAGTATATTTACGGGGTAAAATTAAACCGAGATAGTCTTCTTCATCTAGTTTTAACATGTGACTTTAATAAATATGAGTACCAACTCTGATGCTATGCATCAGATGAGTGAAGAAATCTCAGGCCGTTTTCACTCGAACCGACGAAGTATGTCTCGTCGACTGCGTCTATCTGAAGGTCGTTTTAAAGCCAAACGGCTGCAGTACAACGGGAAATTGGCCGTCCTCTTCTGGTGAGATCGACCTTCGAATCTCTTCTTTATACACTTTCATACGAAATGAAGTCTATCCAACAAGGTTATCTCGATGGCTTCGTTGAAAGCAAGTTAATCTTCGTAGGAGAGATTGCCTCGAAGATAGCGTCGATCAGAACCCACCAGTCTATTTCTCATACACTTTTGATACGAAACGAATGTACTCCAAACAATTGTATCCTAGAAAATTTAACGAAACCAATTTACTCTTCGTCTCTATGATTACGGTCAGAGGACAGCGGCCTCGACAAGAGCGCATGCACTTTGGAGCGCGGAGGGCCCAGCGCAATTTGATGGTCATCTCAATTGACCCCTTTCTTTGCACCACGATTTCTCACTTTAAGAAGTAGCGTAATCGAATAAGGACGAATCGTGCTCTTCTCATTCGCCGTGATTTGGGATTCAGGCCAGAAGTGGCATCAAACTAATTATGACCAATTGAAACTGATGCCTACGGCGTAGATCAGCAAATATCCCCGATGAACGTATATTTGCTATCAGTCAGAAATTTAAGTCGCGGACTTGAAACACTAGAAACCGATTTAAACCATCCTGAATTTCGCAAAATGTTGAAAGCAATTCTCAGCACTAGCATCCTCAGGTAAAAAGTTATTTTCTTGAGCACATGCAGAATTATTCGCATGCATTGGCTCTGAAGGAGAACAGGCCCTTATTTGAAATAACCAGAAACTGTCCAGCCAATGGAACTACCCAACCGTAAACAGAGCCGTGGGCAATTATAGGAACAGACTTTTCTTCGAACCAAGATCTCTTACACGTTGAATAGGATAATACTAAAGACATTATCGATACCACCTCAAAACTGAGGATTTAATAGCCTCCACGTGCAATTTATAGTCAAATAATACAATCGAATATATGCAAATCTTTTTTGTAAGGTTAACTTTGAAGAAATTTAAGGACAAAATCGCATTTGGAATCGCGATTAGCGTTGAAAGATGCCTCGATTTCCATTTTCTAGTGCTAAACTTTCTACTATCCACGAACGGAATAGAGGACTTTTCCAAGTTGCTAAAGTCAACTTCCCTTTTAAATGTATCCTGGGCAATATCATAACTCTCAGATTTTATTGTTACTTTAAATCTCCAGCTATTTATCTTTAAGATTTATACAATTGCTTTACACTTAAATACTATTAATAAGCCTTAGCTAAATTTCATAATATTGTTAGAGGGACCTTCATTTCGTATGAAAGTGCATGAAGAAATTTCATAATCAGAGATAGGGTGGAAAAGTCCAACTACGAATTAGGAGTCATAAAGGCCCTATTATAGGAAGAGATTTAGGCTGTAAAATATGCCTTAATTTCGTAACATTCCCTCTGTTGAAGGATCTCTACTAAAAGTATGCAGACCAAGATGGTTTGGCCTTTTGTGTGGTCGCAGTCTCATTTCGTTGTATAGAAGCAACATGATCATATTGGTAGGAAGACTTAGAGAAACGCACCTATTTCGGAATCCATTGTATGCATCATCATTTCCAAAGTCGAAACGTGGACGTGGTAGATTTCCAAACGTTTGGCCGGCATCGTCAGTGAGTATCGCCATCTTTAGCACCACACAACAACTCGTCAAAGAGACAAGTGAAGCCGATCCTCTGACCAGACTTGTGCTAAATAATTGCGGTATCTCCCCTTCTGCCCTGAATTATTCGCGTTTCCTGTAGCATCCTATCATACCTTCACTATTACAGTTTGTTACCGTGTTTATTTAGATATAGGGCACACCATCTTGATCTTCATGCCTTCGATGGTTTACGATAATTCATCTAAACGCGAAGACAATAAAGGTTTTTGTGTCTTGTGTTTTAGCAATTACCGTAAAGCTTGATGTCCTGCTCTGAGGATATTCCTCCCATGAATGGCGTAAGCTCAACAAGGAATCATCCTAACATGAATCTAGCGCGGAATACTTCGGGGCTTAGCTTTTCTTCCTACCTTATTCAGGAAGTTTCTACAGATTCGTATACTAATCACACTAAAACAAAGCAGCATCATCCACTGTGCTGTCAACTAGATGTTGGCATAGTCGAAAATCCAACTATAAAAAGTGTAATAGTGAAGGCATGATAGGATGCTACCGGAAACGCGAATAACCCAGGCCAGAAGGGGAGATACCACAATTGTTTAGCACATGTTTGGTCAAAGGATCGGCTTCACTTGTCCCTTTGACGAGTTGTCGTGTGGTGCTAAGAATGGCGATACTAACTGACGATGCCGACTAGGATGCCGGCGAAACGTTTGGGAATGTACCCCGTCCACGGTTCAACTTTGGAAATGAGCATGCCGACAATGGACTCCGGACTAGATGCGTTCCTCTAAGTCTTCCTACCGATCTGTACTAAAACCCAAATAATTAATAGTGCTCTCGTCCATTTAAGCGAGTGCTTAAGGTGCTCTCAGCAAGTGAGTTATGTGACTTACCAATGCGATCAAACTACAGACAGTATAAAGCCCCATCGTTCGAGATTATATGCGAGTGAATGGCTTGTTCGTGATGGAGCAAGTGCAGATGAGTGCAGGAGCAAGGAAGTACTTCTAAATTAATTCTTTTTCTTCTCTAGTAAGCTTCAATACAAGGTAAAGTAAGGCCTTTGAGTCTCAAATCTCGTGCGGAAATCAGCATGAATTGGTGTCTACGTTTAATTCTTATAATAATTATAATGTGACCCGAATCTTTGGCTAATTTGTGTATCATGTAATAGAACATAAACTTCACCACCAAGCTGAGGATCATGCTCTCCAGTAGCATCAGTCCCTTATTGGATCGCTAAATTATTAAACTACAACCACCTGTTGCATCACAGGATAATGCATGTTCAAACTGGAAAATAGCTTGGAATTATGGCCCAAAAAGAAAATGGCTAGCAGGTATGAAAGAAAAAAAATTATTTTTCAATTGAATCTCGAATATGTGTGCTGTGCTCGTGAATTTTGATGGTCATTAATGGGAATAGTACTAAAGGGCATGAATATTCGTGTTGCAGCCGACGGAATTAGGATATAACACTAATTTCTATTTCAACCCTAACTTATCTCATAAAGGATAGGCCGGTTAGGCTTCCTTTTCAACCTACTAAAGGCCTCTTCACCACCGTAAATTGGAATGTAATCCAGTGCATGTCTGTGCCATAACAGAATGTTACCTCTGTTTCACACCTCTGGAGGGTTAGAGGGTCGAATTTAAATTGAGAGGCCTCCTTTGCATAAAAATTTGCATGTGCCCTGTGATCTATCGAAACTGAAAAATTGTGCTGCTTCATTTTGACGTGTTGCAAGTTCTGTTGAAGATCAGGACAAAGTTGGAACTGCAGCCCTCTTCGAATGGGTTAGCCTTACAGCAAACGAGTTACATTAGAAGTACAAATTGAAGTAGCCCTTAATTTAGTAAATGCATACTATCTAAAAGTTCAGGTCTACCGTAGCCACAATTCTGGTACATTCAATAAATGTAACGCTGCCAAGGCAATTTGTGAGGGACAGAAAAGATCAGTCCTGAGTTGTCAAGTGCACTGTGCCATAAACTTCGGAATATCAGATGTCAACTAAATGAATGGCTTAAGTTAAGATTTGTCATTTTTATTAGAGGCCTCCTATTCGCTACTTTTGTCATGCCTCTTCAAATGAGCTGAAACGAATCCTTCTGGCTTTATTAAGCTAATGAATACCTTCTTTTTTTCAATTCCATATTAGAGGTTTTCACCTTATTTCTTTTAAGGTGATGAACGACTGGTGGTAGAATTTCCCCACATTCATTTAAGTAGAGCAGACATTTACAATGCATTTCACATGGTTTTGCTTTCCCATAAGTTGATCCTATCTAGGGTGGACTGCAGCTTTGACCTCGCAGAGGTCATATCAGTATCCCCAGAGGGAGTCGAACCGTGCCAGTGCTGCATGCGAGGTTGACACGGTAACCACTCAGTCCCATTGCCACGAGTGCCATTGAGGCGCAGGGCAGATGTGAATTTCAAGAAAGGCCAGGCCTTTTCCTATAACAATCGACTAAGTCTATGTGAAATTGAGTGGAAACGTCAGCTCTACTCAAATCATTGTGGAAAAATTCTATCACTAGTCCTTCATCACCTTTAACAAAATAGGGTGAATACAACTCATACAACTGATTTTCCGGTAGTACCAAGACTCTACTTATATAAGACAAATTCAATATTAGTAAAAGTTTGCTTTCGAGGAATCTCTTGTTTCATGATTGTTGAGCATACTTCCACTTCGAATTAGAGTGTTTGGTGAAAAGTTTCGTAGGTCGATCCCACCAGAAGGCGACTTGATTCCTGTGAAAACGTGCTAAGATTTTGTCCGTCGTATGACGAACATCATCAGACCAGGGTATCATCCTTATATCCAAATTTAAACTTACAAGTCAAGAAAGCTCACCAGCTCATTCCCCAGAAGATGTATATACACTCAATGTCTGAGCTCCGTCTATTGGGCTCAGTTCCAAACGGCAGCTGGTCAAGAGGAATCCTCCGTTGTCTTGTGGTATGTTAGACCTGCGAATCTCTTCACCAAACACTTTTACTGAAAATGGAAGTAAGCTCAACAATTTCATATAAAACCTTTACCTCTTCTTGCCCATACTTCTTTTTGGCTCAGTGAGTGCACTGGGGGCAGGGGATTTGAGTGCGTGTACGACGAGACGGTGTGCACAGGTAAGCCTAGCAAGAAAGTTTGCGAAGCAGGTCAATTCACTTGTACCACAGGAGAGGACTGTCTGGACGCCGAGCTTGTTTGCGATGGAGAAATCGACTGTCCGAATGGAGAAGACGAAGCTAATTGCAGTGAGTCCCTTTCGACTGCTTATCAGCTTTGCTTTGTAAACTAAGAATACGCGTAAATGTAATTAAATTGAAGATATC